AGAAGCATCTTGTCTTATAATTACTGAATTTTCCTGCTTACGTTCTTTTTTAGCTATATTAACATAATTATCCCATAATACTTTCACACAATCGTCACATTCTGATTTGGTTAAGTGTATTGCCGCAATGTCAGTACTTTCGAGGGAAGAATAAAAGTCTCCCTCATGTAGTTGAGATAAATACTGGTGCAAAGCATTAAGTGGAGCATTTTTAGTAATCCTAGAGCGTTCCAAGGTATTCATTAATATACTTAAATTTTGTAGAATTATTAAAAGTTCTGATACTAGGGCTTCCTGCGTTAATGGTATATCCGGGACAAAAAAAAATATTCAAGAAAAGGAATTTTTATTCTATGCATGCATACACCTTGGAGGAAAGCTTTTATAATATTTCTGTATTTACATGTTACATCAGGAATAAATTGGTATGCATTAAAGGTCACAAAATTAATTTCCTGGTTTTTGTAACATAAAATAAAATTTTTGACCCGGCAACTCGGATTTTATTTTTTTCTTATTAAAAAAATTTATTTAATAAATATTGTTGCACAATTCCCAAAATTTAATTTCCCATTATTAATTCTTCTAACATCCTATTTCAACTTGATATTATATGTAACTTATTTCGTCAACAAGATATTTTATGTTTTGACAGCCTTTTTCTAACATACTGTAGTATGCTTTTGACAGAACATTTTTTTCTGCTACAAAATTGTCCTGGATGCACTTTCTCAAACAATGATTTAAACGAAAATATTTTTATTCTTATTTTTACTAATTAATACGAACAATATAAAAATTCATAAACTTGAATAGCATAATTTAAATACATTGATTGATAAACATTTTTATATGCACCTACTTTAATGCGAATAAAATAAAATAAATATTCACAAATTGTATAGCTTATTTAGAATGCATTTATTAATTTTTTTATGTTCACAATCTAACGCTAAAATAAAATTGGAGTAAATATTAATGAAGTTGAATAGCTTATTTTAAATCCTTAGATTAGTGTTCCAAGTTGATTGAACTTTTATCAATTGGTTAGTTGACAATTATAGTTGCAATTAACTGGTTACTGGTATCATGTGACCAAATTAATCGGTTCGTTAGCTGGTTAGTTGGTTAGTGGTTAGTTAGTTGGTTAGTTGCTAAGTCGTGTAACAAAAAAAATATGCCTGTATAATATTTTGGGATACCAGATAAAAAAGTATCAGGAATAAGTATAGTATATAGCTTCTATTTCTGGATAAATCATATTATAATGTAGAAACTAACTTTTTTAGGAAAAAACTTTTATTTTATCAAACTTGATAATAATAACCAAATGGAGTTTTGTCCCGAAGACCAAAGTTGTATATGATTTAAAATGTGAACTGTCTAACGATAAGCTTCGCTGATTTACCGCATACAAGTCATGTTATAGTGAAGTGACCAGGCTACAAGATTTTCTTCACTATATTGAGATTCTATTGGTAAATTCACTATATCAAGAGGCGTTTTACGTAAACAGGTCTTTACTATAATGGATGGTTCAAAATAACGAGAGTTTACTATAATGAGAGTTAATGATTATTGCTATTACTAAACTGTGCAAACAAATAAAATTGTTTTCTCGTATTAAAAAAAAAATTTATAAAAATTTTTTTATATGAAAGAATTTTTTAATATAACATTTTTTGCCGGTCGCCCGGGTTGTCCCATGTAACGAGAAAAACTAATTTAATTTGCATGGCCTAAGTTAGCCGGCAACTAGTTGATAACTAATAATTAATTGTAATCGAGCCAGTTGATAATTAATCGATTAGTTAATTAAAAATTTTTTTAAATTGGTTAGTTGAAAAGTTGTCAACTATTCTATTTTTCAACTAACGATTTGGAACACTACCTTAGATTACCTTAGATGAATAATATTTTTATATTACATAACAAATTAGCATGAATAAAATAAAAATAATGATAAATAGTAAACATTCACAAACTTATTTTAAATACTAAAATCAACAAATATCGATACACAAAGTATGTACGTAAGTAGTGGAACGAAGACTATCTAGTTTTTAGGATGGCCATCCACAAGTGCAATTTTAGTTACTATGCTGTTAAATTTTATCTTTTATTCAGGTTCAGTTTATTTATATTATTTAAGCAATATATATATTGTCTAAATTGCTATATTCCGTTACAAACTAACCGTTCATTATGTAATTTCTTTTTATTAAAAGTCCCAAACCCCTCCCCCTAGGTGATTGACAGCCAATCATAACGTTTATATTCAATATATTAACTGATCCCTCCCCCTAAAAATTATGTAATAAACGACACTCCATTGACAAAATTATAATGTGAAACTCTTAATTTTGTTATACAATTGAACCTCCCAAACAGATATGCATAGCGGACAAGTTTTGTATCAGTATTGAGATGTTATTGGGTTTGAAATTATTATAAACTATTAAATCAATTTTTTATCAGATGATTTATTATGTACTGAAAGAACTAGTACTGTATATACACTGATTTTAGTACTACATTGTTGCACATTATTAATTGCTTGATTGTACAATATATATAACTTTATTTACATAGAATGAAGAACTTATAAGGGTTTTGTTCACTACCAATTGTAGGTCACTATATAGATATTATAATATTTGACTCTAGAGGAATATTTCCATCCAAACTTATCATATGTCTTATAATAAATCACAAATTTATGGCCATTAATAAACTAATCTATTATAGCTTTGCATGGGAAATGTAGCAAATAATCTCATAGTTATTGCAAGAATCATTTAAATAGTATTATGTAGCAACGTGAGTGTGTTTACTTACCCATTGGATTTTGAACTGCAGACACAAAGCTTAATCACTAAACATGAGGTTCTTGCGCTTCTATCATAGCCACGAAGCCTAATTACCAAACATGAGGTTCTTATGCTGTTATCGCAGTCGTAGTAGCAATACTATTTCGATTACTTCTAGAAAGAATTGATCTGTATTCTATTAGCTTATTTAAAAAAAAAATTGAAATTAAAATCTTGATTTTTAGGTTATGAACCCAAGAAATTAATTTTTATGGCCTAGCTTAAAATAACATCTTGATTTTAATTTAAGTGATATTAAAAATATATAAACCATAATAGTAATAAATCTGATGCTTCTTTTTCAGGTTCATTTTTTTGATTGTTCGTTATTTTATAAAATATTAAAGGTTAAAGGTTAAATGGATCTCAAATTTCAGACTAGATATAATTTTTTCTTCGGTGATATCGATTTCTGACCAAAAAAACCAAGGCACGTGATTAAAGGCTGATAAAGTTTCGGAATGTTTGATGTAGGGATGGCAAAGTTCTTGAGTCTAGGACTTTAGGACCTGGTCTTGGGACCTATTTTTTAAAGACTAGGTCTCAATTTTAGGACCTAGGTTTATAGGTTCACAATAGGTCCTAATATAAAATAATATTTTGTGATCTTATATCTAGATAATTATTTTTAGATTTGTTAGTAAATAAAATAGAATATACTAAACAATCTGAGCTATTGATAGATGTCATTTACAAATAATAAATTGGCAACAATGGTAATGCCAGATTCTATGATTTGACTAGTTAAATTATTAAAAGATAAATACTAGACACAGTAACACATAATCTAATTCATTTAATTTTACAATATCTAATACTAATTGCTAGCTATACTATCTTGATAAAGTTAATGCTAATTATAGCTATGTTGATAGCAATTTATTTAGAATAATAGTAGATATTATATAATAATATGCTTTTTAAATAATTAGCATTCACAATATGATAATAAAATTAAATTCTAATTGGCTAGAAAGTATTTATAACTAAATTCAAGTACTTAGTTTTAGACTAATCTTGATAGAATTGTTCATTTTTTTATATTAGTACATGCGATTATTGGAATATAGACACTAACAAAGTTGTCAACAAATTTATTTAAGCTAAGCTCTAGAACTTATTATATAAGGACCTGGTCTGAAGGTCTATATAGCAGGACTTACAAGTCCTAGGACCAAGACCGGATCTAGACTAACTTTGCTATCCCTACTGGTAGATTTATCTTGAGGATAGACCAAGTTGGTAAGTCCTAAAGTATATATAAACAAAATTTGGATAACCAAGTTAGAAGATCCCACCTAGTGGAATTAAGTTATGATCAGAGAGTTTAAATAGATAACCTCCTAGTTGGGTTGCAGATATAGCAGCTAGTGTAGAACCTAAGGTAGACTACTTAAATAGGCAACCAAAAGTTGCATATATGGCTAGTCATACCCTCGTTTGTATGAACCAGAGAGTTTAAATAGATAATCTCCTAGTTAGATTGCAGGTATGTGGCTAGTATAGAACTTAAAATAGGCAGACTACTTAAATAGATAACCAAAAGTTGTATACATAGCTAGTTGTATCATCATTGTAACTAAAAACTTAACTTCTAATAAAAAGTTATAGCCAAAGAGATTATTTTTAACATTGAAAAAAAAAAAAAAATTAAAAAGTGTAATTAATAAAATAATAGGCAAGTTTATATTATTTTAAACATTTCAAACTATTTCGAAATAAATTAAAATGATTAAGTTTAATTTTTTTTTTTTTTTTTTACTTTGATAACCTCATACAAATTTATTAGAGTATATAAGCTTAGACCAGCTAGACTATCTAAAATTATATTCGGCTAATATTCAGCTACTATAAAAGTATCCAAGTATAGTTATCACACTGATGCTAGCCAACAAATCCCACATGCACTACTATACGCATTTAAAAACTTGCTATAACCTGGTACTTAGCTACCTTTGGCCTTCAACTTTTTCTATCTAAGTCTGGGCAAAATAGTTTATCTCTTACATTTTCATAAGGAAAAAAAATATATGCCAAATTTACAAAAGAAAATTACAGGTATAAAACCAGACAAAAAAGAAAAAAGAAACAAATATTCTAACTTAAATTCGATCATAAATGGACAGAGATGAAACTAGCAAAAGCCAAAAAAAATACAAATGAATAGAAAGAAAAAAGCAAAAAAGAAAAAGAAAATATATACTATTAAGCCCATATACAAGACTAAAAAATTATATACTAAATGCAACACTTGTATATCTTTGTTGTGAAGCTTTGCCTTAATGTAAAAACTTCTTTTCGACATATAACCAATCTCAGAAATGATCAAGATTTACATACTAATCTTTTAAAGTAGCACTGTGACCGTGTATA